TTTATTTTCCTTCTCAGCCTGTGTGGGTTCTGTTTGCCTTATGGATTTTTCACAGGCAGTTTGCTACCAGCCTCAGACATCTGTGAGTGGCTTTTGCACGTGGCTGATAGTTGAAAGAACTTTCTAAGTAGCTGCATGCAAATAATCATGCTGCTTGATGGCAGAAATTCCTCCAGTTTTGATCAAAAGGCCTTACCACTAAATCTGTTACTGACCATTTTAATTAGAATATGTATTATTTCAGAGCAGTTTTGAAGTTTGTTACATGAGTATGAGGATGGATGCTGGGAAGGAAGGCTGAGGGAAGTGGCAGCCATCAGAAGCTGGCCAACACAACAGAGCACATGAACTCTGCAAACCTCACCATCCCACTCACAGTAAGTTTCTGCCTTTAGGAGAATATTTTGCTGTTGTATTTCATGGAAAAAAAAACCAACCAAAACAACAGCCCTTAAGAGAATAGGGCTCCTTAAGAACCAGGAACATCCAAGTTATAGAGGGTTAAGCAGACAAACAACCATCCCAGTGGCAGCCTGAAAACCAGTCCCCTAGTGTGACATTAGATTAAGGACCTATCCAGAACATTTGTAAAACATTCAAAATTCTCTCTGCCACGGCTGCCAATTCCCAGAAAACAAGCCTTGGATCTCACAAGGGGGTTTCCCATCCTGTCTTTCACTTTTGTTTGGCTGAGAGTGCAGATACCAAACCTCAATTTAGAGAAAGCAAATGATGGAAGAACTCACACATACAGGGAACTGCTTCACACAGGGGTCTTAAAAATAGAAAAGGCCTTTTTGGTCTTTGTGCTACTGCTAAGGCCACCAGTGCTCATGGCAAGTACACACCTGCCCAGACGTTTGCAGCTGCTCCTACCAAAACCAGTGCAAACTGCAAGAGTATTGAATCTAATCCTAGGCAGAAATGCATTAACTGAGGCAGCTTCTTGGACTAAATGCTGAATACTATCTCCTACGTTGAGCAACTCTACATATGTTCTTACTTTGAGTGCTGCAAGGAGAGGACTACTGGTGGTGTGTGCTGCGCCACAGAGCTGCAGGCGTCCTGCAGAGACAAAAGGCTTGTGCTTGGGGTGGGAAGAGTGGCTTAGCTATGCTGTACTCTATAGATTATTTTGATCCAAAGATCAGCATTATAACCCACGGCATTTCTTACAGCAGTTAAGTAAATACAAGGCTAGTGGCAGATGTTTTCATTTAAACTTCAAGAAAGGCACCGCCTATATGTCAATTTGGAATTGGTGTAATGAGCCAACAGGACTCTGAATGACAATAAAAGCAAATTTAGGAATGAAATCTACTGGAGATTTAACTGGTCTCAAGTGCATAGTTATATTTCTAAAATAATAGCTGCAATCCAGCATAACAAACATGACTTGCTTAAAAACAAAAGCTGGAGTTTAACTGTAAATGGCAGTTGGCTTTCATTTCCATGAGAAACTGAAAGATACTTCTACTTAACTTATTAACTTACTTCTACTAACTTATCAGCAAAGACACACCAATGGTCCTTCGAAAACCATCCACAGTGGAACTAGGACAACCCAGTTCTCCTTTTTTCTTTCCAGACTTACCAATCCTAAGGTCCTCAGAGCCCATCAAACAGACTTTCTGCGGGGTACTATTTGTGTCTGCAAATGGTGGAGCTTTGTCATAGGGCAGAGATAGGTCAAAACGTGGGCATGGCTGGCTGCAGGGGCCAAGGGGAGGGCTGTACTGAGGGACAGCAGCCAGCAGGGAAATGGGAGAAGGGTGAAGGGTTGCAGGAGCATCTGGGGAAGTAGAAGTACTTGCTGACAGCAAGTACTGGCTATGAACTGGGAGGGTAACCAAGCAAGCTTGGAAAGGGGCTTGAAACATGGTGGGGAAGAAGGAAAAGAGGGTAAGAATGGCAGAATTAACATGTATCAACTATATTTCTAAAAAATTAATACTTAAACTTATTTAATGTATTTTAACATATTAAACATAGTTCTCTGCACCTGCACAGAAGACCTCAGAGGGGATTTCACTGGGTTATCCTCATGCTCACAGAGGGGTGTGGGGGATTCAGGCTGACCAGGAGAAGCTGCACACAGGAGGAAGTTGCAAGATAACAGCCATTTTTACTCTTTTCCAATGTAAAACAACTCAATAGTTTTTAACAAGTTTTTACATTGAAAATGAGTAACATACTGTTATTGCTTTGTACAATATCGTTCTACTAAACTTCCACCTTACTGAACACACACATGTGCACATACACACCCATCTGCTACAAAACTTCCTGTTGAGATTTGCCCTTATCTGCAAAGCACAAGCACTGCCACTGCCCAGACCTATCCCAGCTCTGCCCTCCAAGAAAAGCTCTTAAAATTGTACTGTGATTCTGCTTTCTATACTGGTGAAAACTGCCAGACCAGTCTCATGGAACCATGTCATTCACCTCCTTGCTATCAGGACACTGACTGAAAACTCCTTTTACTTCCTAATTTTCATCAGTACCTCTCTCTGTCCCTGCAGCTGGTGCTGGGAGAGACTTGAGGCAGCTAAAGGCACTCCCAGCAACCCAAGTGCAATCAGAAAAGGATTGATAGTCCTGCTGTGAAAAGACTGTCTCAGCAGTTCAAAAAGCTCTTGGATGAACCATAAGCTGTTTCATGTTCGGAAACAGTGTAATGGGTAAAGTTTAGTACACAAATACAGATCCTGCAGAAGAAAGCACATGATGAAGCTCCAAAAAAATTTCAAAGCAAAGGCCACTTCATTTGCATTCCCCTTCATCTCCATTGCTAGGGCTGTAGCAGCAAAAAGGAGGGGCAAGTAAGTGGCAGTGGAAAAGGTTCTCCTTCTTCCACAGAGATCTGGCTGAGGCACGAGAAAAGGCAGGAGGGGACAAGTTCTTTCACTGAAAGTTTTGCCAATTCCTCCCAGGGAGACCTATCCTCTTTCAGCAGCCCACTCTGCAGGTGGAGAAAGAATTAAGGTGGGCTTAAAAGATCAGCAGACAGCTGGGAGGAAAGCTTTGTTGTCAGGAAACTTCCAGATGCTCGCTCAGGACGTGCTATGTCCCTGCAGAGGCAGGATAGGGTGGAGGAGCAATGTTCTCAAAGGAGAGAAAGGAGTTTCTCTCCAGATAGACCTTTTTAGGGAATTTTCCCCTCTGGGTAAATCTACTTATAATCAAATTAAAAAATAAGCCAAGTTACCTACTGACTTTTGTGTATCTTGTAATCTTTTCTCATAATACCTGGCTGAGTGTCACAGAGGAAACAATGTTGGATGCTGTTGTTTACTTAATGCTATCCTTGTGTCTCATCTGTTTCAACATCCCTGTCCAACTCCCTGGACATTCTTTTATTTCCTGGATTATGCTGATGTTCTGAATTAAAATCCCAAGAAACTACAATTTCACAATGTTTCATTATTAATGATGGGTAAGATTTGTCACTTGATTCTGATCTGTATTTTCCAAATTATATTTACTTCAACAACTGAAAAGTTACTTCAAAGAAAACAAGACTCAGAAACATTTTAAGAGGAAAGAGT